ACTTCAGCCTACTCCTACGGCGCACACTCAAAAGCTTCACGCACCTACGCAGCCAACCTCTGAAAACCAAACCCAGAACCAACCCTAAAGCCAAGGCACTGCTTCCTTTCCATGAAGACCTGGGCACAGAGGGACAGTGTGCAGACCCATTCGCGGCAGGCAGGCTGCACTCACAGTCACCTACCAAGCACTCAAACGCTCCTACCCTACCTCCTAATGCACACAGCCAGTCTCCTACTGCAAACAGCAGGGCTTTCAGACCTACTCCTACCAACTTTGTGCATTGCAGCGAAGATCGGAGCAACTCATGCCCGGCTTTTAGGCCCTCAGGGCCCATAGCCAAGCATATCAATCCATCTCGGAGCCAGAGTCTCCCACATCCGAATTGTCCATAGGTGGGTTTGGAACCACCATACTCGTCTCTGCCGGCGGGGTCAAAGGAGAAGCGCTCCCCGGACTTCCAATGCCACCGACCATTGGCTCCATTGGGACCTCGGAACTCACGTCCATAGGGGTCCCAGGGGCACCGAATGCCTCCACGGGCGTCATCGGCGTCTCGACCTCCATTGGAACCTCGCCCGCAAGCTCCCTCAATGTATCTGGGTGTGGTGTCGATGGAGGAGGTAGAGGAGGCGGAGGTATAGGCAGGCTTGCTTCCATAGGCGTGCCTGGTGCCCAAGATGGAGGAGGTAGAGGAGGCGGAGTTAGAGGCATGCCTGCTTCCATAGGCGTGCCTGGTGCCGAAGATGGAGCATAGGAAAAGACGGACGGCGTAAGCGGGGAAGGAGGGCTGAACGGCAAGAAAGCCGGAGGCCCTGGTGGAAAAGCGGGGCCCGTCGACGATGATGGAGCCACCTCGGCTGTTGCAGCTCTCTTCATGTCGGCATGCAATCGAATCATTGCCTCGGCTTTTGCACGCGCTTGGTTGAGCAAAGCCCACCCCGAAGGAGGTGGAGCTGGGGCACTTTTGTGAAGAGGCGGTGCCGTGCCACCCGACGCGGATGGTGCAACATCCGGTATTATAGTTGGCGGTTGAGCAGCCAAAGTCACCCGGCGGTTGCTCTGGACGAGCACGTCCGCCAAAAGCGCTCTCAAGTCGGCAGCCGGCACACGCTCGACCTTGAGCTCGTTTGGCAGAATGCTTGCTAGCCCTGCCTCGAACAACTGGTATTGAGCAGGATGGCACCGCAACTCTCGAATCGCCTCCAGGTACAGAAGGAATTTCTTCAAGGTGAGCTGGATGCCAACCTGATTGTTGCGCCAGTACCCCCTTTGCTCGCATGGAAGGTGCGGTTGGCGGATGGTAGCACTCACATCGGCGACTACCACCCCCATGGTGGTCAAAACATAGCCATACCTTGCATACTCTGCACGACGGTCGTGCTCTTCGACGAGGGTGTCCGTCAAAACCGACTGGTCCACCGTCGGAGCAGCAATGGCTCGCAGCTCGGCAATGAGCATAGGTTGCTTCACCGGAATGCCGCTTGTATTGATCACCAACTCCTGTGTCTCCAACTCCCCAAGGCAGGCTGGAATCCCCAACAGCCGTTCGACCGAGCCAGGGGTCGAGGTAAAAAGGTCGATGTTTTGGAGAAGCTGCCTCGAAAGAGACAGCTGACCTTCCTCCTCGAAACGGTGCGCAAGACGAGCAATCATGCTCGTCGAAAAGGCTTCCACCTGGGCCACACTCCCACTTTGGGAGTTCACAAGACAGAGCGGAGGCGAGGCTTCCGGAAGCTCCATCCTTTACAAGGTCCCTTACAAAGGCTCCAGGCTTTGAGCAAAACACTCCTAGAGCACACAACACCAGCAATGCTTTCAGAAACACTCCTGGCCAACGCAAGCTCCGAAAGGCACACTTCCTCTCTTCACTCTGTCCCAACAAACACTCAGGCACACAAGCGCTGGGGTGCAAGTCACTCCTACGTCCTACACGCAAGGCACTCCTACTCCTAATGCAAACACTCTGAGGCTGGAGCGGCACAGGCCCTACCCCTACGCACTCAAAACCCTTGTCTCCACAGCGTGTGTCCCTACTGGTTTGCTTCTCCAACGACGTGTTGCTTGCAGACTTAAGCAAAACAGCTGCGGCGGAACATAAAGCTTCAGCACAACATGCAGAGGGTGGGGTTTCCAGGTCTACTCCTACTTTTGCAACTGCAGCATGCTCACATCCACTCAAACGCTCCTGTAAAACATGCTCATGCAGCTCGTGTTCCCCCACATGTTGCTTCACTGAAAATGCTCGCAGCAAAAACTTAAAAGGTGTCACCTCCAATGCTCTTCCTACGTTGGGCGGTGCCTTCTTCTGCACCTTATCCACTTCCATCGCGTCGTCGTTCGGGCTCCACCCCGGCTTGGGTGAGTCCCCTTTGCTTCTTCTTCCTTTCGGCTTTGCCTTGGTAGGGCCAATCTCCTTAGCCAACGCCCACCAGCTCCTGGCTTCACGAACCAAGGGCACCCACATCGAGGAACCTCGTTCCGTCTGCTTCACCAAGCAGCTTGCTCCAGGCTCTGAGGTGAGCCAAGTACTCCATCCCGAAAGGGATGCTTGCCAAGAACTGACTACGTTGAAACCAATCTTGCAAACCAAGACCTGTTGAAGCACTACGGGCCCCAACTTCCCAAACTTCACCCGAATGTCAACCAACTTGACACATTCCATGGGCGTATCGCTAGCACTCATGAGCACAGGAAGAGGTCCCGAATGCTCCTTGACGACTTCGTAAAAACCCAACGCGCTCTCTGACAACACGTGGCAGGTGGCTCCACTATCAATGAGCCATGCGAAAGAGCTATTCCTAGAGGAGGACTGGTTCAGTCTCTCGATCTCTCCGTTCGTCATGGTGAGACGAGGGGGCTCAGCTTCATTGGGCTCATTAGTTCTTGTCCCCGGACCCAAGCCACTCAGATGATGAGACCGCATCGCCATCACCTGGTCAGACTGCTCGTCTTCCACAGCTCGGCCCTTGGGCTTTCCTTTGTTCTTGGGCTTCCCCTTGGGCTTTCCACCCTTTCCTTTGTCTGTCTTCCCTTTGCCTTTGCCCTTGCCTTTAGGACTCTTCTCTCGATTCTTGGAACCAGAAGGCTTTCCACCTTTCGGTTCATCCCTCTTCTTCCCTTTTCCAGAGCTCTTGTCGGGGCACTGCCAACTCATATGGCCTGATTTGCCACAGTTCCAGCAGAGGCCGCGCTCCCCAACTGCATTCAGCGAACCAGCATCACACAATCGGGTTTGCTCCTCGTAGAACCGGATGCTTTCAACCAGTTCCTCCCAGCTCCCAGACTTCCCATGCAGGACAACGTAATGCCTACACTCTGGGCTGACAGATTGAAGAAGAAGGGTTGAACGATCAGATGCTCCAAGCCTCAGTTCAGGGAACCGATGCAGCTTCTGGTCTACTTCCCAAGCTCGTCCTCAAGGAAGCGGACGCAGTCAAGCGGTCGCTTGTACGAACTCGCCTTCGAAGTTAGGCGAAGGGCTTCATCTCTCACAGCAATGGCCTCCATGCGAGAGACAATGCTGAAGGTCTGGTGCATTTGACGCATCACCTCATAACCACAAGCAGCTTGTCCTTGACGCATCGACGTGCTTCTCACCAGTTCCATCCCACGTTCGAACTTCTGCAGACTTTGTTGCAGGTAGTAAAACAACCTTGCCGAACGCGATGCTACCGGAACTGCCATGTCAGACTGCTTGATCTCACGGTCATGCGTCATTGCCTGGCGCAACTCATTGACATAGTTGTCGTCTATCAACGCCAGCCAGGAAGCAAGCACCTCGCACCACCGATGGTACTCCTCCAGCTCTCTCACACGCCCTTTTCCCATCGACACATTATCGATGAGCGGCAATGCTGGCAGATACTTCTCTGCACGGTTACTTCCAACATGCAGGTTCTGTGATGGTGCCGGTGGAGGAGCAGAAGCCTTTGCCGTGGGACTTCCGGCAGCTGCTGCACTTGAAGCACCCCCAAATGGGTTGCTCACAGCTGCCGACAATGCTTCCTGCTCACGTCTCCTTCTCTCGTCGGCCTCCATCTTTGCCACCAGAACTTGAAGTGTCTGTTGCTGATTCTGCATCATCATTTGCTGACTCTGCATCATCTGGACCATCATCTGCTGGAGTTGAGGGTCAAGTCCGACGACCGTGGAGGGTCCTCCCGCTGGAGCAGAAGCTCCAGGGGGTTGTGTTGGCGGTTGTTGCCCGTCCTGGGCACCACCGGGGCCAAACAAAGCTTCGTCGTCTTCGTCTTCAGGCACAGGGGTCGACAGCCCGGGGTCAGCCATGGCTTCTAGTTTCTACGAGCGTGCTACACACACGCTCCGCTACCATGTGAAAACACAGCAGCAGCGCGCTGAACCCTCTTTTTCTCACGACTTGAGCCAAAATCATAAGCCGGAGGCTTCGTCAGTGAAACTCTTTACACACAGGTGAAAACTCTGCTCTGCCACGTGTTCTCCACAGCCACAAAACAAACTCAAACGTCAGTGGGAGTTCTCGGGACCTACCCAACTATACCTAAAGCAAGCAAAAACGTGCACAGTCACTTCTACAGCTTCCAGACACACATCCCTACAACTCAAGCACTTCAAAAGGCTTTCCCACTTAAAAGCAGCACTCCCGTCGAGCCTCCAAGGCACAACTACGGAGTTCCTACAACACACACACAACTCTGAGCCAGCATGCAGGACAACAAAGTGAACATGTCCTTAGACAGGAACTTTCACACCTTAAGCCCCCCTTATTCCCCCCCTTAAGCCCCCCTTAAGCCCCCCCTTGAGGCTGGACACCTGGAGTTCGACCGAGATGGGCTCCGCGGAAGCGACAGCTTGGATTCAGGACTGGCTGGCAGACACTGGGGTAGAGAATCAGCGCATCGGCACGCATTCCTTGAAGACCACTTTGTTGACGTGGGCAGGGCGATCGATTATGATGAAGGCGGGCCGATGGTGAACGCTTGCTTCAAGGCCACCACGTCCTTCCGAAGGTGAAGAGCATGGTGACGTACAGTCGCGAAGCGTACACGAGTTTAGCTGGAAAGGTTCTCGCGCTCTACCGAACCATTCGAAGCGGGGCTTTCGACCCAGATCTGGATCCAGCATCACGTGTTATGCAGGTGGCGGATGCTTTGGAGAAGGGAGTGCAGTCGGCCAGTGCTGAAGGAGGACGACGGCAAGTTTCGGGTTTGGCGCCACCGGTGAAGCTGAAGGCTGATTCTGATGGTTCCGCCTCGGAGCCAGAGAAACCTGAACCCTTTGCCGTCCCAGGTCCGAAGCTGGTGAGGGCGCGCACTGCTTGAGGGAGGATGGCGTCTTCTTGTGCGGGAGGCTTTGCACCGAGAGATACTCTTCATGTGAGGGCGTGGGAGCTGAGGATCCCGATGTCTGCTTGCAGTGTTCACGTGCCATGGGCGTCACTGCTGAGAAAGTCAAAAGAGGAGTTGACAACCTCAGGGGCCTGGGAGCGGCCTTGTGAGCGAGGTGTTCTTCTGGGTGCTGATGTGCGTGAGGATCGCGACCCTGATGACCACGTCGGCAGTGTGCGACGTTTCACTCCCCACATCGGCGAAAATCAGCTTGGCTTTCCGTCTCCCAGAAGATACACCGCCTTCAAGCGCTGTGAGTCCTTCCATCGGCACACCGCATGCAGGCAGAAAAGAACCTGACCCAAAACGCAGCGCTCCACCTCTCCAGCTCTCACCATGATGTGCTCCAGAGTCATGGCCTGTTTGCACTTCAGTGAATCCCTCTGAACCAGAGGCTGCTTCCCCAAGAAGGACCCTTGCACCTTCCAGAAATGACAACCTTGAGGTCCATGCACCGGAAATGTACCACGGCATGCATGAAATGCAAAGCCTCCAAAACATGTGAAGGAGCTGACGCACCGCAGCCACTGTCCCGCATGGCCGACAGCGCCGAATACAAATCGGATGCTTCCATCCTCCATGGAGATCCAACGCCTTGCTTAAAGAGCTGGACCACCGGACGGTGCAACGACCCTGCTCTCTTGGTGAGGGTAACCGCTGCCTTCTGTGCGAAGGCATCACAAAAACTGGCTGCCACCAGATCTTTGTTTTCCAGCTCACCAGTCTTCGGCATCAAGTGTCTTCCCAGGTTCGTAGCCAGAGGGTCCAGGAGTGCCATGACCTTGAGCTTCTTTCGGGCATGGTTTCTCTCATCTTCATCACTACGCACGATGCGGATTCTCTGCAGCCTCCGCTGCACAGTTTGTTCAAAACTCAGAGGAGTGGAGACGGGATTGTTTTTGTTTTCAAGAAGCAAAGAGCGGGGGGGTTGGGAGTGGGACGGCGGGAAAGGGGGCTTAAAGGGGGAGCTTAAGTGCCTGGGAGATGGCACTCGAGAGAGAGGCGCTTTGCTGCAAGACATGGCAGTTGAGCATCCAGTGGACTTTCATGTCAATGGCAGATGAGAGGCTCCAGCGAGGAAGAGCTTTCTAAGGATACACGTGCACGCATGCTGTCAGTTCATCTGTGACTTCATGCCGAAATTTCAATTTTGGAAGGTTCTTTTCAGATTATATGGTAGTTCGAAGGGATCATTCGATCAGCCTTTGAGCGCCTACGCCACACGGTGTGAATCATGGCTTCAGCGAACTTGGATTCAGAGGCAGCTTTCTTGGATAGAGCTAAGAAGATTGGCTTCACCGAGGAGACAATTCAGGGCCTGGTGGACAATGGTTACACCACGTTCGGGCGCTTGGCTTTCGCTGTGTCGGCGACGCCTACAACTTTGACTGATGAGGCTGTGGACGCGTGGATCAACGGTCTTGGCATCAGTCCTACCGGCTACCAGAAGGGGAGCCTGCGCCGCCTTCTCTTCGATGGCGTCAGCATGGCCATTGAGGAGGGAAAGTCACGGATCGAGCCCGGGGTAAGGCCATCCAAAGAAGTTAGCAGCTGCCGAGCGCATGGACAGGCAGGCTCGCCAGGAGAGGACCCTGGGCGGCTTGGTCTTCACCCCAGAGACCCGGCATGCGTGGACCTTTGTGTGGAGATGCTGGAACCAGGCGTGCTGCAATACCATCCTCCTAGCAAGTGGATCAGCCGAGCTCAGGAAGCCCAGTGCCTCGCGACAGTAGCGTCAATCTTGCGGCTGATCATAGCTTGAAGGTGACTATGAAGCCACATGAGCTCGCGTGCGACGTGGCTTCAGAGATGCGCCTCCGGCAAGCTTGGTGCAGGAGGTCGCTGGCCTTCGACATGGCTAATCTCGCATGTTCAGTTCTTGTTCTCAGTTTTGCAGCGAGCTCAGCCAAAGGGATTTGCAGGCATTCAGTTGTCGCAGATCATTGAGGCAGACAAGCAGCTGTTCATCCTTGCAAGTAATAACTTGATGGGCAGGTTGACAGCACCTGCCGGCACAGATCCAGTTCTTGATGCCGAGATCACCCGCCTTTCACGTAGTCCCGAGATCATGCAATACTTGGCCCCCTTGCCGAATCCTCCGCCGCACCAGTTCCTGCATGGGGGCAAGCCAGGGGACAAGGGAGGAAAGGGCGCTGGCAAGGAGAAGAAGGGGAAAGGCGCTGGCAAGACACTTGATCTTCCCGAGGGGTGTGCAACAAAGGACGAGGCCAACCGTCCGCTGTGCTTTGCGTACAACACGCATGGACGCAAGAACAAGTGCAAGAAAGGCAGGTGCCTCAAGGGTTTCCACAAGTGTTGGCGTAAGGGATGCTTTGGAAATCGCCCTTTTGCTAATTGCCCTAAGGGGGGTTCTTGACAGGGCCCCCCAGAGGATGCGCCGGACTCTGGAGAAGTGAATTGTGGCGCGCTGGAAACTGGGGATCTGTCCTTAGCGGATCCTGAGGTTTGGGCACAAACGCGTTTGAAGAGTGCTGCACAGATCTCGGAGTCCGACCTTCAGTCGCTCTTCGGTTTGCTTCCGAAAGATGAGGTGCGAGGAGGTTCGCGTGAGGTGCGTAGTGCTTTCGTGACTGGTTGCTATGCCCAGGGAGGTTTTCGTGGGTTGCGCAAGGAGTGTCACACTTTTCCGTTTGCAAGCCGAATTATGACCCGCTTCGTCAAGGAGCGTCTTCCCGGTCATGTGTTCTCCACTTGTGGCTTCTTTTCAAACAGTGCGACCCCTCTTCATAAGGATGGGCGCAACGCACCTTGGCCTAATGCCTTGTTCCGCGTCACAGACTTCCAGGGCGGCGGATTGTGGATTGAGGGACCAGGTGACGACGTGCGGGTTTCCGGTCAGCTTGAGTTGAGTGGCAGCGTGCATGAGCTTACTTCCGAGCCTTTAGTTTTTGATGCATGGTCAAACTACCATCAGACTGAGCCTTGGACTGGCAATAGGCTTGTTTTGGTGACATGGGTCATTCAGCAGCTCGGGGACTTTGGTGAAGCAGAGCTGGCTAGGGCGCGGGGCTTAGGATTCCTGCTGCCACCGGAGGTTCCCTTCCCGCTTGAGACATCACAGACACGCCTCCCTGCGCCTTTGAGTTGTTTGCTGGGAAGGGTTCGTTGTCCCGTGCCTTGCGCCAGACGGGCTTTCACGTGCACAGCTTTGACCATCACCACTGTGATTCTTGTGTGCCTGTAGCTCAGCTTGACCTGTCCTCTGAAGTCGGGCAGAACCTTTTCTGGGATCTGATGAAGAAACATCCTCCGTTCCTCGTGCATCTTGGCTTGCCATGTGGGACAAGCAGCAAGGCGCGAGGCAGACCTTTGCCAAATGGAGAGATAGGGCCGTCTCCTCTGCGCAGCCGCGATTTCCCGCTGGGGCTGCCCAGCTTACAACCTGGCTCGGTGGACTCTTGTCGGGTTGACACTGCCAATCGGCTCTATTCTTTCGGCTATAGAGTGCTGAGATATTGTCTTGACAACAGCATCATAGTTTGCATTGAGAACCCGCGCAATAGTTTCTTGTGGGAGATTCTTGCGGCGTTCGAGCCGTCTGAACCCAGTCATCGCCTCCTGCCCCGTCTTTCTGAGGTGTGCTTTGATCAATGCTGCCATGGGGGCTCCAGGCCCAAGGGAACCAAGCTGCTGTGCTCCCCCGAGTGCTTTGAATCGCTCCGTGCATCCTGCCCGGGAAATCACCTTCACAAGCCGTGGGGCAGGATCGTCGAATGCGGGAGTGTGCGTTTTGCAACCAAGGATGAAGCTGCATATCCTTGTGTCCTTGCACAGAGGTATTCTCTCTGCGTGGCCCAGCGGGCGCTGGCGGCGGGTTTTTCGTTGGTCCCCCAACCCACCGCACGGAGTCAAGCTTTGCAGTTCGCCGGCAGACAGCACCGCAGACATGCTCCTCTCGTGTCGGAGTTCTCCCAGGTCACGTGGATGCCTCGGCGGGTTCCCCTAGCACCCTTCAGGGAGGGACCATCCCTGAAGCTCCCGGTTCCACTAGCACCCTTCAGGGAGGGACCATCCCTGGAGCCCCGATTTTGTCAGGCGCTGTTCAGGGAGGGAGCATCCCCATCCCGGAAACCTCAGCCTTTGCGTCGCTTGAGCCTGGAACTCATAGTGGTTCGCCTTTGCAGGATGGTTGTGAGGATTGGGTTCAAGTAGGGGTTCTTAGGAGTTCTTCTGAGTTTGTGGATGAGGCGAAGAAGGTGCCGCATCCAATGGATTAGGCTGTGACGCTCGCGGCCTTGAGGGAGAACCTCACCAAGGACCCGAAGCTGGTGGAGTTGAAGCGACGGCTTGCTCTGGCTAGGGTGAGACGAGAGGTGAACAAATTCCGAGCTGAGGAGATAGCGCTTCACAAATCAATGCCACGCTCGGTGGCTAAGGTCATGGAGGGCAAGGCCATCTTTGCCCTGGAGGCTTTGTTGCAGTCGGAGGGATATGACGACATGGGAGCCATCACATTTCTCAAGGAGGGGGTGCCTTTGGTGGGGGTCTAGAGTGCCCTCCGTGCTTCGACTACAAGCTTGTGCCCGCGGCCTTGACTGAAGCCGAACTCTTCCAGACTGCACAGGTCAGACGGGAGGCGCTTTTGAGCAAGTCCGAGCCGATTGATGCTGAGGAGGCAAGAGTCTTGGCGGAGGCATCTCAAGAGGAGGTGTCGCTCGGCTTCCTTGAGGGGCCGTTTTACAGCAGGGCTGAAGTTTCATCCCGACTTGAGACAGAGGACTGGACGGTGATACGCCGCTTCGTCATTTTCCAGGGTGCTGAGGGCAAAGCACGCCCAATCGACAACTGCCTCGAGGCCCAGCTTAACTCGGGGTACACATCGAGCATCCACTTGCGTTTGCAAGACGGTGACTACCTGGCCGCCATGGCCCTGTTCGTTGCCCGCGAGATCCACGGGGGCAGGGCGCACCCCGAGGCGAAGGAGTGGCGCGGAAAGTGCCTTGACTTGAGCAAAGCGTATAAACAGCTTGCAGTTCTGCCAGCCCACCGGCCTTTGGCAGTCATAGCAGTGCGGCAAGAGGATGGGCGCGACGCCCTGTACGTGTCAAACAGCTTGCTTTTTTTGGCAGTACCGCAGCAGTATATGCCTTTAACCGGGTGAGCCGTTGCTTGTGGTTCTTGATCAATCGACTGCTCTGGATTCCTTCCGGGGTGTACTTCGACGACTACCCCCTGTTATGTCCAGCGGCCACGGCCGAGAGTGCGGACTCGGTTGTGAGCGACTTTTTGGATTGCCTGGGGTGGCGTCACGCCAAGACGGGTGTGAAGGGTCGTGCCTTTGCTCCAAGCTTTGACGTCTTGGGGATGACCTTGGGCCTGGACAGGGTAGCCCAAGGAGAGGTGAGCCTTGCCAACAAGCAGGGTCGCATCGAGCGCATTGTAGCCCAGCTTCAGGAGGTTGGTTCTAGGGGTGAGATTAGCAGGCAGCTTGCCCAGGTCCTGCAGGGTTTGTTGCAATACGCTTCTGGCTTCTACGCTGGCAGGGCTTTGAAACACGCCTCGCATGTGCTTTCACGTATAGTGGGTGGCTTACACTTCAGCCCCCTTGACCTCCGAGATTTTTGCCGTCATACCATCCGCCTTTTGCAGGACGAGACCCCGCGCATTTTGAGGTGCTTCATGACAACCGATGTCCTCCACCTTTGGACGGATGGCTCCTGGGAGTCAGGGGTGGCGGGAGTTGGACTTGCCGCTCACGACTGCTTCTCCGGGACAGGTTGGGTCTTAGAGGGCCGTGTCCCGTCAAGGGTGCTTGAGCTGTGGAAGTCCGAGATCGGCGGCGATCAGTTGATTTGCGAAATCGAAATGTTCGCGATTCTTGCATCCATGATGGAATTGAGTTCCATCCTGGAGTCCCGAAGAGTAGTGTGGTGGGTGGACAACAACGCCACCCGCAGCCTCGTGATAAAGGGGGCCAGCAGAAGCTGGGCCATGCATTCTCTTGCCCGAATCTTCTCCCAGTTGGACCAGGAGCACCCATCCATGTGGTGGGTATCACGAGTGCCTTCCTTTTCGAACCCAGGTGATGCGCCATCGCGAGGTCACGGCATCGAGGTCGTGACGATGGTGGGAGCGTCTTTCACCCGCTTGGAGGAGCTGGCGAAGAGGATCCTTGAGCTCAAGCGAGCCTGAACGCTATCAGGGGTGGTGGGGCTCACTTGAAGGCCGTAGTGGCGGCCGGGAGACTTCTTGAGACTGCACGTGGCCCTCGCGCTACCCCTGATGCTGTATGAGAAAAAGGAAGGATCCAACTGGGTGGAATATGCATGAGTTATTCCCATCGGGAGTTTTTAAGGAGATGTTTAAGATGAGATATTCCGTTTGAGTGGTAGATTGAGATGAGTTTTCTCCCTTTTGGATTTATATATGTTTGGGAATTGAAATACACCAAACCAGAAAACCCCCGTACCCAGAAAGAGGGGGTTGGGTGCGGGAAGCCCGGGAGGGGCCGGGCGGGTTTTCTGGTGCTCATGATGTCGCTGCGGGGAGCCTTGTGGTAGGTTGCCCCCCTTTTAATGGACGGCTGGGATGTTGCAAGTGTTTCATCTCAGACGCCTTCAGGCAGTTTAGAATACTCCATTGTACTTTGCTTATGTATGCATGAGATGCTCTTGTTTCGTTGAAAATTTTCCTCAGCATGTACATGGAATTTTTGTGAGCATGAGAGGCTTGTGCATGACTTTGGACCCGTGCAGTCTCAAACCTTTCTGTGAGCCAGGGGAAGGAAAATTTTCTTGCCCTCCCTCCCTCCCTGAGAGTGGGGTGGTGGGGCTCACTTGAAGGCCGTAGTGGCGGCCGGGAGACTTCTTGAGACTGCACGTGGCCCTCGCGCTACCCCTGATGCTGTATGAGAAAAAGGAAGGATCCAACTGGGTAGAATATGCATGAGTTATTCCCATCGGGAGTTTTTAAGGAGATGTTTAAGATGAGATATTCCGTTTGAGTGGTAGATTGAGATGAGTTTTCTCCCTTTTGGATTTATATATGTTTGGGAATTGAAATACACCAAACCAGAAAACCCCCGTACCCAGAAAGAGCGCTTCCTGAATGGCAGTTCAAAAAGTGCTCCCTAGGGTTTTCAGAGATATGATTGATAGGCTTGCTGGCCCATCTTGGTGCGGCAACAACTTCTTGCAACAGTTGCACGGTTGTTCTTCCACAAGGAAGATCAAGATATTGGTTCTGAATGAGCATGTCAGCAATAGTGGCGGTGGCAGTTACATGAACAGCAGGCAGAACCACGTCGGTTCCCGATTGTACATGCGCAATGCCACGGTGCTGCACAGGGACATTGACTTGCTCAAGGCCTTCAACAATATCTTGCAGGTTCCCGGTGCAGTCATGAAAAGTAATTTGAAGAGAGACATCCGTGGAATTGGAGGGTTGAGTCACCTTCCAAGCAAAAACCTCTTGCGAGGACTTCACATTGAAGATGTGAAACCTTGCAGCGTGCAGCGCAAGGCTATCAGGAATTGCAAGCTGCTTTTGCCGAAGATCAAGGATCACCTTCTGTAATTGGTAAGGGTCAGCGTAGATCCTAAGATACTTCCCCGGTGCAGAATGAAAGGCTTTCATTAGCCTATGTTGGTTAAGGATACAATGTATCCGGAAGGCTTCATCCTTTGTCTGCAGAATTAATGGCATAAGGGAGATCAACAAAGTTGACACTATTGCCCGGGATCCCTTCAAGTGGTGCAAATCGATACCAAACTTGGAGCTCAATCTGCGACTTGCCTTCAGTCTGCTTGAGCACCTTGTCATAAATCTCCTCAATCCTAAGCATCAGAGCTTGGAGTTGGGATATGCTGATTCTTGGTGCTTTAAGACAGACAACACACCTGTTATCTTTGTCAGTAAGCGCAATGATAGGATGCTGTGGCTTTTTGACAAAGACCAAGCCAAAGACCTTGATGAAAAGATTGACTTCCTCATCAAAGGTTCCAACAGTGCCAGCAATGATGACCTCAGTATTGCTGGCATCTTGCCTCATGGCAGGCGTGATGGCATTTTAATAACAAGATTGATGAAGAGGGCGGCTATCAGGAATGTAAGAGACCAAGTAAACAAATTCCCGCTGGCCCTGGACTTCAATAGCACCGATTACAGTCATGAAGGAAGTCTTCATCATAACTCCTGAAAAGCACACAAGGGATGTCAGATACTGAGAGCGAGCTATGCAAATTGCTCACTATCGTTATGCTCGTCTGTGGAGTAAGGCTTTTCTTCAGATTCTGAAGAAAGTTCTTACTAGGATTGACAAGCAAGACTGACTGGAGCTCAGCATTTTGTACTTGACGAAGTTCTTGCATGGTCTGCGTGGACACAATGCACCCATCCCTAAGATACTCCAGCAAATGTGTTGATGGTGTTCTGGCAAAGAGAGCGTCAAACTCGAGTAAGATGGCCTGACATGAAGTCAGCAAAGCACTGAAACGCACTGCCATCGATAATACTAATTCGATCTTGCGACATTGTGCAGATACCTTACGCTATCCATACTGCACTGGCAACCAAAACTGGCAAAGGGGTGAAAATGAAGGGGAACGGGCGTTCCCAACTTTAAAGGTTAACAAAGAAAGAGAACGGGCGTTCTCAATCTCTGTTTCGGAGTGACAGGACAGCTGAGGGCTCAGTTGACGTCACTTTGGAAGGTTGGGAGCGGGCGTACCCGACAGTCAGTGTGCACAAGACAAAGACTGGTGGCTTAACCACCTCGAGCAGACGCGGTCTTGAGCCAAGGGGGTAGGTTGGATGTCCGGTAGTAACATGTTTCAAGTCGTCGGCTCACTTCGAAAGAAGGAGCGTGACCCTGGGCGTGCTTCTTGGTCAATGCCGAATATTTGAAAGTCGAACAGAACAGCAGTGCGAGCAGCCCAAAAAGCGGCTTGCTTCTGATGCTGGGGTGGGATTGTTAGCGGACAGTAGGAAACTGGATGCCGGTGAATCCCAGTGCAGTTTGTTGTTCGACGATGACGCCCGGGAATCTCGCAGAAAAGATGTCTTGATGTGCGCTTAGCGAGTTTAGAGCTTGGAGGCTTCGGAGTGTTGGAGTTCGGTGTTGACGTCGAGGTATTTGGCGAGGTGGGTTTCTGCAACCAGTGAAGCTCTAGGGTGCCGCTATGCACTTGCTTCTGGATACCTCGTGCGGATTCCTTTATTTTGCGCGGCGCCTCAAGCGGTAGCACTTCTCTGGGCGCCTGCGCCGGGCGCTTGCGCCTGTTTTGCCCCGGCGTCTCAAGCGGCGACCGTTTTCGTTGGTTTATGGCCGAGCTTTGCGCCTCAGGGGGCGCCGCCTGCGGCGGCGCCCCGAAGGGGCGCCGAATTCTGCTAACGTGGCTTCAACAGCGCAATGCATGCTTGCTCAGGAACAGGCGCTTCTGACGGGCTGTACAATTGGGCGAACTACACCAGTAACAAGATGCTTGAGTGCTAGAACACCTCCTTGGAGCTGGACGACCCAAGTCACCTGTACACCTGCCTTGACAGTGAGTGAGAGGCGAGTGCGCTCTTTGGTCACTGAGACCGTCAGTGCCCGACAGGGCCACTTGTACTCTGGTTGAGGACGCAAGTTTGCAGCTTTCGTGGCGGGACTTGCCCATTATGGTTATAGTGCTCATGAAGCACCGGTGCAAAGCATTGCCATGTGCCTGACGCCCTGAGTAACCGGCTGCGATTGGAATGAAAAAAACAGTAGAAGTGGCAGTAGTGTAGTAGCAGTAGTAGCAGAGTAGTCGTCGTAATAGCAGTCGGGAGTAGCAGTAGTAGTGGCATTAGCAGTGGTCGTAATCGCGGTAGTGTAGTAGAAAGCCAGCAGCTGTGTCCCAGCAGCGGGACCAATAGTTGTGGCGATGCAGCGAGCGGTGGAGTCCGGCTTCAAAACGTGATGATCACAGTCCTGTTGCAGCGAGCCGCACTAGCGCGACGACGCTCGCCAGCTGGGTGCCTTTTGGCCCGAACAAAGGGCGCATGGGTGGACTGAAAGCCTTTGCCCCTGGCTTGCCAACGCGTCAGTCTGAAGCTAGCTCCGTTGCAAGTGCGTGTTTACCATGGTGCAAGCAAGAGGTCGATGCCGCCTGCATCCCCCCTGGACCCGCATTCCTCCTCGGCGCGCCGTCAGGCCGCCCCCATTAAGCGCGTAGTGCCACGGCCCCAAGTCCGGGGTGGGATGCCGACTGACGACTCTACTTATATTCCTAATTGTCAGGTGTCCCACAGTGTGAGGGTTCCAGCTTCTTCCGTTGGAGCTGGGGAAGGCAACTCCCTTGCCTATCAGCGACGACTTCAGGTGCCGAAGCTAAACGGAGTTCAGGTCACAGATGGGAAGCAGGGACCTACTCACAAGTGGAACCGATGTGTCAAGAGATCCTTTATGCCAGCTTGCAATAGAGCTACTCGACATTGCCAAGCGCAGCCCTTGTGCCTGTGTACCTCTAGTTCAGATACCCGAGGAGTGTGTAGCTGCAGATCATCGCTGCCTTGTCCCGAATGCTGAAAGACTGCCGGCGGCGGCAACCTACCCTATCCTCGGATGGGATGGCCCGCACTGGGCCCCGGCCCCACGTTTGCTTCGAGATGTGGTCTGGGTCTTGATGTTACGTCCTTCCGGGTCACAGTTAGTAAGTGCGAGAAAGCTGTGTTCTGGCGATGCTCTGCGGCCAGACCTTTCTTGGTTACTGAACTACACGGTCCCCAGTGTGCCCTCCAAGGGCCACTTGCAGTTCACAGGACTACAGGGCGCTGAACGTGGTCCGCAGTGCGCCCTCTTGGGGCCACTTGCAGTTTCATAGGACTACTGGGTGCTGTGCGGTCCTCAGTGTGCCCTCCTGGGGCCACTGCAGTTCTCAGGACTGCACTTTGCACAGAGAAATGTACAGCCATGATGAATGCAAGATGCCATAACAGATGGCTGTAGCGATGTCGATAGCTCTACGACCTGTTTTCATGTTTTACGTTTTCGCTTTCTACTTATCTGATTTTGCACTCTTTTGATCGAGTGAAGTGTGCACTGGTGCACCATTCTCTTGACAAGTTGAGTAGGCCGCAAGTTTGCAGCTATTCGTAGCGGGACTTGCCCATGTGGTTCTAGTGCTCTTGAAGCACCGGTGCAATGCGCTGCCACGTGCCTGACGCTAAGCTGAGAGACCGGCTGCGATTGGAATGAATAGTAGTAGTAGTAGTAGTAGTAGTAGTAGTAGTAGTAGTAGTAGTAGTAGTAGTAGTAGTAGTAGTAGTAGTAGCAGTAGTAGTAGTAGTAGTAGTAGTAGTAGTAGTAGTAGTAGTAGTAGTAGTAGTAGTAGTAGTAGTAGTAGTAGTAGTAGTAGTAGTAGTAGTAGTAGTAGTAGTAGTAGTAGTAGTAGTAGTAGTAGTAGTAGTAGTAGTAGTAGTAGTAGTAGTAGTAGTAGTAGTAGTAGTAGTAGTAGTAGTAGTAGTAGTAGTAGTAGTAGTAGTAGTAGTAGTAGTAGTAGTAGTAGTAGTAGTAGTAGTAGTAGTAGTAGTAGTAGTAGTAGTAGTAGTAGTAGTAGTAGTAGTAGTAGTAGTAGTAGTAGTAGTAGTAGTAGTAGTAGTAGTAGTAGTAGTAGTAGTAGCAAAGCGCGCCCTTGGGCGCCTGCCATTCGGGTGCGTTTTCTGCTCTTCTGCGGGTGGGTGGGGGGGGGGGGGATGATAACGTCCATGCCATGTCGCACATGCCGAACGCATCGTGTTTTACAGTGTTTTCGCCTCCCGGAGAGGACTCGCGGCCAACGCCTCGCTAGTAGGGCATCGCTGAGATGCCACTATGCTTTTTCCGAACCTGCCTAGGGCACAGGGCATTTTTGTTGTTTTCGGCGCCGAAAAACAGCTGGCTCGCAGCAGCGTTGTGTTCATGATGCTCGCTTTTTTTGCCATGTGCGTAACCAGAGCATCCATGCCTGGGGACATCTCTGACGCCCTGCTCGCTGCGGCGGTATGTTCTAGTGTGGTGGGCTTCCGTTTTCTTCTCAACGTTGGACCCGAAAGTTATGTTCCAGCCTGTGCCCGCAACCCTGAATGCGTGACACTCTGAGTTATATATTCTCCAGATTTCGAAAACCTGTACGTAGTAGTAATGGTGGTACTAATAATAATAATAATCGCGACCCCCCCCCGTTCCAGGTGCTGGTGTTTGTCCCCTGGCATTGTTTATCCATGGGGGCGAAAGTCGGAGGTTGTGCCTCCACCCAGTTTTTGTGCTGTGAGTCCTGGCCCAGCTTGGGGAACTGGGGAAGCTTCCATGCTTCCCACTCGCTGGCTTGTTGTCTCACCCTTAGGCCTAAACCTGCGTGAGGTTTCCAAGGGACCTCCCATGTTGGTGTAAAGGTGGTGAGGGCCTCAAGGCTTCTACTCACTACCCCGACGTCCAACTCTGCCCCATGATTACAGGTGGCTTCTCCAGTCACTAGCAGTCTACCCCTCATAACTTGGTGCAAGGTGGTGTCTTGAAAGTGGGGTCGACATTCCCGACGTGCCGTGAGATAAGTTCCGAGCATTTCTTTCCCAGCATGTCTTAGGTTTGTTCTTTTGCGCCGCTGGGCTTTTGTGAGTCAATTGAGAAGTTTGAAGCTTATGTTGCCTGCAGCCTACAGAGCCATTCCTCTTCTCCCACGGCTGCCATGCGACTGAAATTCGCGGCTGCGTGCGTTGGGCTTGCTCCTTTGCAAGGAATCCCAATGCGCTCAAAACGGTGACGGTTATGGATGTTTCGAGCAAGGCTTGGAAAACATGTGCGGTTTGGGTTAGAGGTTAGCATGGGTTTAGGTTTTGTTCAGGGTTTAGGGTTTAGGGTTTAGGGTTTAGTGTGTAGGGTTTGGGGTTTAGGGTTTAGGGTTTAGGGTTTAGGGTTTAGGGTTTAGGGTTTAGGGTTTAGGGTTGAGGGTTGAGGGTTTAGTGTTGAGTTCGAGTGGGACCTGGAATCCTTGATTCCCTCTTCATCCCTTGTCCATGCTCCGCAGCTGTGATTGGCAAGTGCCACGAATGGTCACGAGCAGCAGAAGCTTTTGGGAGCCCTGGTCTTTGGTTATATCGGGCTTGGTAGTGTCAAGGCCTTCCCTTACTTACGCCACTGCCACTTGGTGTCGTGGAATACAAATCTGCCAGAAAGGTTAGATGCGAAGGTTTTCCGATTCTTCCACCTTCCGGGGTCCTTTGAGTGCCATGCCTGTGCCTGCAGCTCGCAACAAGGCGCGGCAGCGAAAGATGTCAGGAGGGATTTCAAGAAGCACTTCAAGTTTACCATGGGAACCGTGTGGTGCTGGGTAGCCATGTGGTGCAAGGCACCAGAGGGCTAAATTAGTTGATCCGACCAGGGCGCAGGAATGTTGATCCACAAGCGACATCAGGGATGTAAGAACATGATCTCACAGCCGAGGGAGGCATATGTGAACGTTGTTCGTCTTTTTCATCTTGGGGTCCCCAGTCGTGTTTTCTGCTCGGAATTTTGAGGTGGGTGGTTGGGGGGATGTTAGGGGTGGGGTGGGGATAGGGGTGGAGTTTGCGCATGGCCTGGGTTCTTGAGGTCTCCGGTTTTTGGAATGCTTGCGCAGGATGCCGATAGTTCTGATTGTTGCAGACTGCTGAAGTGATGCAGTCTTACTCTACTGAGCCCTGGGTCCATATGCCGGACCTACTCCGAATGTGCGGTGCAGGGGGTCGCCTGGGACCTGGATGGGCGCCTCTGCAGAAACTTGGGCCGTGGGAAGACGGGAACTTCTCGGATTGGTGTTCAGAGGATGGGGTTTTGGGGGTGCTGTACTTGCACAGGAGTTTGCAGGCGTTTTGGTCTCCGATGGGCTGACCCCTCGGTATGAACCTTCTCTCGCAAGGTCAGGTTGGGACTACGACCAGGTCGATGAGGCAACTCACGGTGTGTTGAGATGGGCGGTTGTTCAAATTATGGTCCCTTCTTGGGTGCCCTAAATATTAGGTGCCGTGTTATATTAGGGATCCCAAAAGGGACCATAATTTTGACAACCACCTAAATGTATGCGCTGTATGTCAAGCAGCTTGCGCCATGTTTGTAGAGTCCCGGCCGGCCGGGGCCAACCGATGTGTGGAGACACACTGAGCAGCAAGCTTCCAGCTACTGAATTTCGTACTGGTTGCCCAATTTCGGCAGCCAGGCAGATAGAATCATAAGCGAGCGCAACCCCAACATCTTTGGTGGGCCTTGTTGGACTGGTAGGCCGAGAAGTGGCATCGACTCCGCTGGTCGCTGCAGGTGGGGCGAGTGACGGGGGACGCGTCGAGGCTCATAGCCAGAAGAGTTATAGGAGTTATGGCCTCCAGCATGAGCTTGTGGGTGTCGAGAACGGTGGTGCCGGTGTTGCAGTCGCGGGGTCGTCCAGTGAGCGTTGCTTCAAGCTTTTCTCTCAAGCGCAGATTTCCTGCATGAACGCCTCGGGCACAATGTTGTGCATGTGCGAATTTTACGATCGTCACTGCCATAGATTCCATAGATTTGCGCGGGCAGATGATGCTGTGCCCACGAACAGGGCATCTACGATGAGCAGAAGTTGTGCCTGGAGTCGTTCCATGCGCTTCTGGAAGAGACGAGCCACGGGAGCGTCTTGGCTTTCATCACACATACGTTTTTGAACTCCGTGAGCCGGTGACTGTTCTTTACTGGGGGCTGTCCAGAATATGGCCCCATCGAACCGTGGGGCTTGGTGTGGAGTAGTTGCCCCTAAACCCTAAACCCTAAACGTCTAAACTTCTAAACTTCTACTAAACTTCCAAACTTCCAAACTTCTAAACTTCTAAAACCCTAAACCCTAAACCGCTGGGTTGCTTCTCAGACTGCACCTCCTGGCCCACGCTTTCAGGTTTGGCCAGCCCCAGAAGCGAAGGTGCGACCGCGGTCGTGTGGTTTAGGGTTCCGGGTTTAGGGTTTAGGGTTTAGGGTTTAGGGCTCAGGGTCGGAAGGCATCCGGGCAGAGAGCCTAGCGCGATGGTTGCAAAGACCGCGGGGTTTGGGGTTTAGGGTTTGGGGTTGCGGGCTTAGGGTTCGGGGTTTGGGGTCTTGGGGTTTCGGGGAGTGTTTTTGCCAGGCATTTTTTAAGCAATGTAGTGGCATCATTCTGGACCTTGAAACATGAAGCTCCTAACGTCGCAATATTGTGGCTGCCCCAAGGGTGGCTCACCGCAACAGTATGCAGACATTTTCCAGATCTTGAAGGAACCCACAGTTGGGAACGAACAACGGATGTAGATGCCAGCTCATGAAAGCCCCTTGGATGTTTCAATGATCTAGATGGAGGGTTGCGAGTGCCTTTGGCTGCTGTCGTTCGGAGGACTTAGAAAGCTCACGGTTCAACTCGTATGTATGTTTTGGGTCTTCATAGAGGTAGTGAAGCTTTGCGAAGGCCACAAACATCCCAAAAACCTTACTGCCTCCCCTGCTACTCCCCGTAAACACAAAGCCCGTAAAGCTGCCCAAGTGCAAGTAGCTAGGGTTTAGAGCTTTGGGTGAGAGCCCTGAGAGGCTTACAGCCCTAGAACCCTAAACCCATCCCCAAACCCTGCCTGCCCTACCTGGACCTCTTAGAATGGTCCTTAGGGAAAACCGAGGGAAACCGAGGGAAGAATTGAGGGTAGTCGGGGGCTTCGGGTCAACCCATGTAAACCCAAAAAGCCCCTCAAAATCAACTCTAAACCCTAAAACCGCGAAAAGCCCCCTCAAAAATCCTAAAGTGGCCAGGCTCCGAGCTGACGGGGCAGTTCGCCTACAGCAGATACTTTCATCCGCGTCGGGTTCCCCCGGCTCCCACTTGACATGAATGGCTTTGGGGGCTTGCCGTGGTCCTTGAGGGCTTGGTGAGGTTGAGCTTTTTGGGGGCTTGAGGAGGGTCGGCAGGTTTAGTGGCTTTGGTGGGGTGGGGGGTTTTTGTGAAGTTCAGGGGCTTGGGGCTCAATAATGTTTAGCAAGCACGGTGAATAGTCTCGGGCTGCCAGCCAGATGCCCTTGCAGAAACCGAGTCGACACCTCACAACCCAAAGCTCCCTTCCCTGAAATCCCTGGAAGCCCATGATTCTGAAAGCCCGCTTGAAGCTCCACAAAGCAGCCCCCAAGGGCCCCCTTGGCTCCATCTTCTTAGCCGCTAAATCGCAAGAAGCCAGGAGGGCGAAGAGCCCCGGAGCCCCATCACCCCGGCGCCACAGCCCGGTCACGACGCCCGGATGAAGGCACTGGGCCTGGGCCTTGGCGCCTCTAATTAGCAAGAAGGGCCGACAGTCATACACACCCCCAAGACGGCAATGCCTCAAAGATGCCCCCCTGCCTAAGCCTTCAGCCCAAACTCAATCCTTTCAGCCCTCTTCGTCGGAGAGAGCCTCTGGGGAGGCCTTTCTCCGGTCCTCCCGGCAGTTCTCGCGGACGGTGCTGGCAGAGGCCACGAGCCTCAGCCTGAAGGCCGAGTGCCCGAAGTGCAAGGCGCCTGGGAGGAGGGTGGTTGGAGGGTGGTGGAAGGTAGTTGGTTTGCGGGCCAATAAGGCCTTATGTTGACCCTTGAGGGCCGAAGAGCGGGCTTTGGAACTCAGGGAGCGTCCGAAGACGTCCATGTGATATATGGGAGTGTTTCCCCGTGCGGTTGCGAACACCTCAAGAAGGCAACACTTGCTGTATGAATCATGACCACCAGCATCCTTGCGGTTTCTGTGCGGCCTTAAGGGAACCCCAACCCCCTTGCAAGGAAGCGCGCGGGCCTGGTGGCCTGGGTGGGACCTGTGAGCATGCGAAGGAACCGGGCAGTGGCGCTCCGAAGGCTCGGGAAGGGGTTCTAGTGGGTTTCGGCTTGTGGGTGTCTCTGAGAATTTTTGAGCACTCAGAAGAAGGATGCTTCACGTCGATGTCATATGAAGAAGACAGCAGATGTGTGTTAATGTGTGGATGACAGGCTCTTGGAGGCTTATCCGGCTCCTAGATTTGGACGTAGGGCCATCGGGGCTTGCAGTTTGGCTTGGGGCTCTGCAGATCAGCACTGTTTTGGGTTTGGGTCCTCCGCCTTTCATGGCCAGCTTTGCGTTCAAAGGCTGCTCTCTTCTGAGGAGCCTCGGCCCAGCCACATCCCGCCCCCGGGCGCGGTTCAGAACCTCCGTGGCATCATTAGCTCAAGAGGCCCTGGGTGCATGCCAGGGGGGAAGCTGGGAATGTTGGGACTTCATTGTGCTACGTACCAGAGTTCTATGTCTGATGCCTTCTTTGCGGGGCAATGCCCTGGCCGCAGCAAAGGGTTGCCCGTTCATGCTCGGATTCTTTTTCCAACACAGTGAGTGCCACACGTGGAGGCTCAGGTGTCATTTTGTTCGAACTCAAAAACATTGAGCGATCTTAATGGCCAGGCACGGCGGACTCCAAGATTTTCGCAGCAGGCTTCATGGCAGAATATGTATGGCTTGCTGCAGCGGCAAGTGCCCAGTATCGCAATCCCACGCAGGCACTGGATAACTGGAGGGACTGTCATGTGCCAGCTTTGGTACACCGCTTAAATTGCGCCGACAACATCCTTCAGGAATGCCGGAAATCTAGGTCAACGTGCAGGGTTTTTTGTTTAGTTTCCTGTACACAGGAATGGTCGTAGAATGAATCATAATTTCTCAAATCTTCGTACATGCTGCGCCCGACTGCCCAACTTGGAGCCGGACTTCGGCACAAGCTCCGCAGTTTTCCAGACGAGTGTCCTTTGCAGGTTCCATCTGGGAAAGACTCTTCAGAGAGGAGGAGCCTGCCTGGGGGGGTGTATCTGCCGTATTTGCCTTGAAGAGCCCAAGGGGTTGCGAAAGAGGTCGCAAACTGTTTGCGATTAAAATCATGGTCTGCCCGCGGCTTGAGGCCAGCACTTTGCTTGAAATGCCCACATCGTCTGCCGTTCATCATCCGAGAGCAAAACAAAGAGAGAGCATACGCATCATGAGTTGGATGGCTTACTTCCTCAGCACCGTATCTCCATGCATGTCCTCAAAAGTCGGGTCCGGTAAGGAGCACTCGATGGCCGAACAAGACCACCACTACCACCACGAGAACCACAGCCTGTGGATCCGCCTGAGGCTCCCTGGCCGGTTAGGTTCAGCTGGATGAAATGTTCGCAGGCTCCGTCTGATTCCTGCCATATGCTGAAGAAAGTGTGAAGTGTGAGGCCATTTTCATGCTAGGCCCGCACCCGCAGCCGCCTGACACAGCCAAGAATATCCTACCAAGAACATCCTGACATCTACCTGTCACTGCTGAGATACTGGTGTTTTTGCCTGGCGTCGAAGAAGATGTTCGACTATGTCATGGGCCTGGTCATTCTGGTGAATGCCGTGTGTGTCGGGCTGGAGGTTCAGTCCTCGTGCCTTGGTTGTATTTCCCACCGACCTGGCCCTGCTCAGTACTCCAACCTACTAGCGGAGGGATCAACCTAGAACAATGACCCGGAGAGCCCCATACCCCTTAAAGAGAACACTACGCGACCTGCCTCGGCCGGAGCTTCTGTAACAAGAAAGGCCCCGGAGGCCTGGTGGGGGAAGGGGGGGCAGGGGTGGGGGGGGCGGGGCGGGGGCCCCTATGGCAGGCTGAAGTGCCCCCTAAATGGGTACCCATTTCAGGCCAAAAGTGGAAAATAAAGGGCTTTAAGCCGTTTTTCAGGCCGTGCAGGCTTTTTGCTTGAAAGCATCTATGCATCTTTTGAAACCCATCATGCGAGCATCTGGTTTGCAAATGGGGGAGGCTGCACCAGCCCCAACCCCCCCGCTTGTTCAGGCTGTGCAAGCTTTTGCGTCAGAGCATCTATGAATCTTTTTTGAAACCCATCATGCGAACATCTTGTTTGCAAATGTGGGGGCGCGCAGTCCCGTTGCAAGCAAGATGCTCGCATAATGGGTTTCAAAAAGATTTATAGATGCTTTGGAGCGGATTTAAACAGCCGGGGGGGGGGGGGTTGGGGCAGCCCTCCCCATTCGCAAACACAATGCTCGCACATGACGGGTTTCAAATTTAGGGTTTTGGGAGATTCACGGGCAAGGTTGCGCGACACCTACGGCCTAAGGCCTCGGCGGATTAAGAAATATACCTCAAATTGAAAAGGGATCTAAGGAAAAACCCTTAATTAAGGGGTGTTGGGCTCTTGGGACATGAGTCTTCCGGTCTAGATGCCACAAGTACGGTTGAGGAGCAACTGTGCCAGAGATGTCAAGCTGAGAGGGGCCAGCGCAACAAGTGATGAGGCTGACGGGCCAGGATGAGATTGGCTGGATGTACTGGCCGCCTGTCAAGAATCTGTATCAAAGGGGCATGTGCAGCATGTCTTTGCCCGAAAGTTGCCTCGAAGTTGTTGCTCTACACGGTGTCAAACTTGCAATGGTCTTCTTGTTGTACAAGCTTAAACCCTAAACCCTAAATCCTAAACACTAAACCCTAAACCCTTGTCAAATCCCTACAGCCTAGACCCTCTTTGTTCTTGCAGTGGACGGTTTGTTTCGCACCCGTCATTAGTCCGCTTCTTTCATCCCAGGCTTCTGCGATGGCATTTTTACAAAAGAGGCTGCTTTCTAGGGGCTCATCTGCTTCTGATCTCCTGAGGCTGGATTTCGCATTTGTGATGGCCTACATCGCGGAGTTTCTCGTGCGCCTGCTGGCCTGGGGAGTGCGCAAGTGTTTCACCGACTCCTGGCCGGCGCCCCAGGACTGTAACCTTCTTCCCTTCTCGACTTCGATTTCTGCGGCTTTACATTGTATTCGTTCGGCCATGCTGGCTTTGGGCGCATGCCGCATGGCAGGATTGTGCAGTGCAGGCACATATTGTTCTACTCTGCCCCTGCTCCCAGTACGGGTGGTTGTTTATTGGCTGCACTTAGGGCCCGCGCACCGCACTAGACAGCCTCTTGGAGACACAGCGGTCAGATTGCAAGCGGCCCGTGGGGAGACGGCAGCCTTCTCTGAACATGCACCGATCTTGAAGGAGGGCTGGAGAAGAATCGGGGCCCACATCTGCATGCACCAAATCAGGCTCTTTGCGGCTGCCAGGTTTGTACCCCCGCGCCCTAGATAGAAGATGTTAGACCATCCAGAACCAGGCGCAAGTTAAGCTGGAAGCAAGGCTGACAATGGTATTCTAAGCGTCTAAGCCATGGGCGGCAGCAGGGTATGTGGGTGGCAACCTCCGATGCACCAGGTGTCTGCTGGACTTCTCGTTGGTGCTTGTTGGGGTGCTCAGCCTCATCGCTCAACCCCTGGGTTTGCAGGTCAAGGCTGGGCTTGGTGCCTTGTTGCGCGGGGGGGCTTCCTCGGAACTCCCGATCACTGCCCCGAAGGAGCTAGAATCTTTGCTGGTCGTTCGCTCGCTACGGCTGCTGCGCCTCATCCGTGCTCTGCGGTTGCTGAAGCAGTTTCGCACCGCTGCTGGGCACAGATGGATCTGCTTCATCGGAGCGAGGAGAGGCCACACAGGGCCACCATGGCCACCTTTGTTGCTTCTTGCCCCAGGTCTGGAGACTCGTGAACGGTCTCCTCACCTCTGCAAATGCCATGGTGTCAACCCTGGTGCTGGTGGTGCTGACGCTGTACATCGCTGCATGCTTAGGCGCGTCCCCAAAAAAGGGGCTCCAAACGCTGGAGGCAGACCGTAGCCTCCAAGCTTTGAAAGCCGGATTCAGGTATCGAGATCATCACCAAAGATACGGACCCTTGGCTTCCAGGGGCATGCTGCCTTGTTTTTTGTTTCAGATGATGTTGAGATGGTTTCTGGGACGCTGTAGACCCAAACCTCCAAGCAGCGCTCCCGCAAGTGCCGTGCCCTGTGATGTGACGCCCTGTGGCCCGAGGACCTTAAGGTGCACACCGAGACGGGAGAGATTGTGAGCCGTTACTTCGGGACGCTGCCAAGTACCCTGGCACCAAGAGTTTTTGGCTTCGAGGAGGGAGCCAGGGATCAGAGCTTCCCAGACTGGTCCTGGGCATGGGGGGGTCTGTTGTGTAAGCACCCGCACCTGCGACAGGCACGCTGCTGACACTTACGTCGTGGCCAAGTTGCATTTGATGAGGGGTCGGTAGGGTGCATGCGCCATGTTCTCGTGTGGGATTCGTGTTCAGTTCTTTCGGCTCCACATGCGAGCCTTCGCAGAATACGTCTGTGCTACGAGTTCTGATGCCTGTGTGTTGTACAGGCTCAGTGCCGCTCTTCATGTTAAGATGTGGTTGAATCATGGTGCGTCCGGCAGTGGAAAGACACAGCTGCAAACGCCAATGGTTTGGTCGGTGACGAGCATCTTCTTCTGAGCACGTATGCAACATCAATCAAGTTAAAGGTCATTATGGCATGTTACACTCAGTCCACGTTGTCTTTTTTGGAGGTCCATGTGCATGGGGGCTTGCTTTCACAGCATGACCCATGACCCGTATGCGTGATATCCTGCTCCCGCTTGCGTGTGGGGCCTGATGCGTTTTCATGGTCAAGAATCAAATAACATGTGCGATGTGCGTGTGGAAGTGCGCATGCTTCGGCATTGCGCGTCGAAAGTTGTGATCTTGATGCCCTTTGCCTTGAGGTTCGTGACGCTTGACTCTGTCGCTCCCATCTACGTACCCCTCATAACCCAAAAGCCGTGGCTGGCGCTGTGGCTGGGCCGGACACAAGACAGGGAAAGGCCTGTGGATTCAGTGCTCGGGATGTTGGCAAGGATCGTATCATTAGGCTTGGAACAGACCTCGAGCCGCGAAAACCTACAGTCTAGCTTGGCAGTAATGATACTGCGTGAGGCAAATGCTCCGAGGGTTGTTCGAGTTTGCGCACCAAGTTGTCCCCTCAAGAGTCTCAAGAGAGTGAGTTGTTGATTGTCTGAGGTACTTTTTCTTCATCATCCTTTTTGTCTCTATTTCGCTCATGAACTTGGTGGGCAGCCAAGAAGCCATGTTGCTACCGGTCGTCATGCCACATGCAGTAGGATACATCCGGCTGTTGTGATAGAAGATCTTGGACCTTATGTGACAAAGAAGGGCGTCGCTTTCGCTAGTGACCGCTAGTCCCTGTACGGATGCTCGACTATCAACTTGCTCGTAGCGCTGGATGTTCTTGTACCATCTCGGGACTCGCGATCTAGCAGCACCGGTGACTCCGTGGATACGGATTGGACACGTCAAAATCTGTCAGGTGACGGCTGTGCTGGTTGAAGGCTGGGAATCAATTCGACCTGTGACTTTTTGTGCGGGCTGCCCCCCGCGGCCGGTGAGTCTGCGTAGGCGCGCTGGAGAACGCCTCGGCAGACAAAGAGCTCGAGAAGCTCGACCTCCAGGAATTGCCCCCAGTTCCCTAAATCCTGGCCAGCCCTGCCCAATTGCTCGAAGGCGTGTTTGGCTTAGCGCGTTGAGGGCTCATGTTCAAAGTCAGAGAGGTTGCTGGTGGGTGCTGCGCAGGAGAAGCTAAAGAGCCAGATGCCACGGTCCCATGGCCATTCAACGGATCCGAGGGGATAGAACTTGTTATGCCAAGGTTGGCATTGTGTAGTTGGTGACGCCTCCATGTGTGAAGATGACCTGCTTTTAGGGTCTTAGAGAGACCTGCCTCCCACAATGTTTTTGGTCAAGAGACATGCTTTCCAGGGCTCTAGGCAGCAGTCACCGTCAAGCTGAAGACTCTTGGTGTTTACTGTATTGCAGTGCCAAAAGTAGCTTGTTTGCATTGAGGCTGCTGCAAATATTCAACGACATTGACAAGGACCAAAAAGTTTCTTGCAGCTCACGCATTCAGCTTCTGTGTCGCGTTTCTGCACCGGGCTCCAGCTCGTGATGTAGGCGTCGGGTAAGCCGGTGTTGCAGGATGGTTCTGGTACGCTGACGGTGGAAGAGATGTCCATGGTACCCGTGACTCGGATGCTTGATGCACATGCAACGCTAAGTCACATAACTTTCTTGTAAAATCTCCGCTCTTGCGCGTTCTCGCCGAGGTGGATGTGATTCCTGAGGAGCTGCGAAACAAGAGCCGAGTGTCTTCAATGCATGAGGCCTGGACGGCTAAGACTCTGTCGAAAGATTGCGGCGTAACCTCGCGTGTTCGATGTCAGAGTCAGAAATGGGATTCTGTTGGAACCACATTGAAATGGATGCTCGAGATCCGGTTCCATCCTCCGCATCAGTACGGTCAGAAAGACTTCCGGGCTCCCGAAGCACATCGGTCCAGCCCAAAAGTAGGAAGAGGCATTGAACTGGGTTTTCTGTGCGACGAATGCTGCTCCGCAGGATCAGGTCTTGCGTTGCTTGGTGCCTGAGACATCCTGAGACCCACCGCTGCCAAGGGTTTGCCGCCATTCTGGGTGACTAGTGGAGCACGGTCTCGCATGCTGCAAAGCCTTCACCGGCAAGATCGTCGTTCCAGCGTTTCAAGGCCCTGTCTTCACATGTCGGCAGGTTCCGCACCCTAGGCTTCAAGGCCTCAAACGAGTTCCAGCGAGAAAGAAATGAAAGAACCCGTGTGTTTCGTAAACTTTGGCCTGAATGCTCAACGCCGTCTCAGCCGCGCCTCCGGAAATCTTAGCCTCGCCAGTTTCAGCTTTCCCGGCCCTGGGAGTCCAAGCGCCACAAAAGTCTCAAGTCCAAACCTTGTCTCAGGATCTTGTAAAGCAGGGGAAGTTCAAAGTTTCTGAGAGAGTCTGCTGCCCGTGCGGCCGGAAGGTCTTTGAGATGCTGGACGTGGATGGGGGAGGAGAGCTGACGAGAGCGACTTGCCTGCAGCTACAGCTCGTGGAGTTTGTGGGAGTCAGTGCACACGGCGTGCCCTCAACGTAGTATCTCACACTAAAGGGCAGTACTGCATTTACAGGGTCCAAAACGCACAAGCAGTAGCCTAAACCCTAAACCCTAAACCCTAAACCTTAAACCCTAAACCCTAAACCCTAAACCCTAAACCCTAAACCCTAAACCCTAAACCCTAAACCCTAAACCCTAAACCCTAAACCGTACTTTTAGATGGCTTCAGGACCCTTGCATACCCGGCCCGAGTCAGATGAAGCCAGCTTCTCAGGAAGAGTTCGTGGATGGCCTCCTGCGGCTTGGCCCCTTTTGATCCCTATAGTTTTCACAGGCACCCTAAACCCTAAACCCTAAGCCCTAAACCCTAAACCCTAAACCCGAAACCCGAAACCCTAAACCTAAACCCGAAACCCGAAACCCTAAACCCTAAACCCTAAACGAACCCTTCCACGCTCCAAAGGCCGGTCGGCTCTACCCCCTTCGCTTTTGTCGGTGTTTAGGCGGTTTGCCGGCAGTCGCGTTCTGCACGTAAAACGTGCAGAGCTTGCCACCCTGCATTTGCATGTAGGGCTTCCTTGAGTCGTCTGTGTGTGCCCGAGCATCGCAACTTCTGGGTTGAGGGCTTCGGGAACTTGGTGCTTCATGGGCCTTGCCCTCTCCAGCAGTGGGCCCAAGTCCCCAAATCCAGGCCCTCCCCATGCCGTGCGATGACTTTCTGTGAGATGAGGAACTTGTTCCTGCAAGATGTGCCGGTGGCCACAGTCCAAACTCTCCGACTCCTTCGATCGGTGGATGCTCGCGTGTGGCGACTGGGCGAGGACCTGCGACTCGTAGAGAACTTCGGTGTAGGAAACAGCTGGGACAAGTCAAGGATTGCCGGTGGTGGCGCAGTCAAGCATGTGCAGATTCTGGCAAGCGGAGTTGCCAGGGCCGTGACAGGAGCCCCAAACAGGCCATGTCGCAGAAACACGCTGTAGTGACGGAACTTCTCAAGTGCTCTTGATGCCTCGTTCCCCCGAAGCCATCACATTTGGGGGTTGCCCTGGTCTCCTATAGGTTCTTTCCGAAGATGGAGCTTTATTTTACGTAATGTCGTAAGCTCGCCGAAGGAGCTGTGCGACATGCGGAACTTTCTCCACGGAACGCGCCCAATGACAGACACTTGTGGAAACAGGCCGGGGGGTTTAAGGTTCCAGCGTTTTGGGGTGAGACGAGCTGCTGATTGCAGTCCTTCTCCACACAGGTCAGACAATCGTCCTGTCGGAAACAGGCCAGATGATTAATGATGAAAGGTTTGCTGTATGGTTTGGGGTTAGGGTGAGGCCAGTAGTTGCCGATTTTTAGGTAGCAAGGTTGTGTCGACCACTTGTCGTTCCAGATGCAAGGTCCTAATTCCCCCGAGCTGCATTTGCTGTTTGCTCATCTGGGCCGAGCATGCAATATTGAACCACTTGGAGGTTCATGGTACTGATTTACATGGTTAATAAGAACACTTAGAAGTACAGTTACAGTTGGTTATGAAGCACACTGTACCATGAACCTCCAAGCTTGGTTCTTAAGTGCCATGAACCTCCTTTTGTTGCAGGCCGCGGAGCCGCGACTGAGGGCTCTGACCGATGTGGCTTTCTCAAGCTTTTGCGTTTTGTGAAGTTTTCAAGTTTAAGAGCGAAGGGGCCAAGCTGAGTCGACCGAGCGATGCGACGGGCAATTGTTAAGCCTGGAAGAGTCCTGGGCATGCTGACGGGCTAAGCCCGTACTCACACATCAACATACCCTAAACCCTAAACCCTAAACCCTAAACCCTAAACCCTAAACCCTAACCCTAACCCTAAACCCTACCCTAACCCTAAACCCTAAACCCTAAACCCTAAACCCTAAACCCTAACCCTAAACCCTAAACCCTAAACCCTAAACCCTAAAACCCTAAACCCTAAACCCTAAACCCCCTAAACCCTAAACCCTAAACCCTAAACCCTAAACCCTAACCCTAAACCCCTAAACCCTAAACCCTCTAAACCCTAAACCCTAAACCCTAAACCCTAAACCCTAAACCCTAAACCCTAAACCCTAAACCCTAAACCCTAAACCCTAAACCCTAAACCCTAAACCGCCTGGAGTTCAAGGTAACGGCGCCTCGTTGCCTCAGAAAGGCTGCGGCCCATGTTGCCAAGCGAAACCGCTGCTGGCAAAAGCGCGTGCTCAACCAAAGTTGGAACTACTCACGCGCTTCAGTTGCTGGGCTCGCCGATCTTTCTTACGGAGTTATCACCCTAAACCCTAGACCCTAAACCCTAAACCCTAAACCCGACATTGCAGCATCCCTCCCCTAGCCTGTGTGGAGGGTGGCCGCACTTCGCAGACCGCAGAATTTTTAATCTGAGTCCTCAAGCGCTCTCCTGCACTCATTCCAGAACATGGGGGTTTACGAAAAAAAGGGCTTAGGGTTTAGGGTTTAGGGTTCAGGCCCAATATAGATCCCCAAATAGTAGGATCCTCTTATAATAAGGACCCCTAGAAGGTACCCCCGAAAATCGGAAACCCCCACGTGGCACCTGACCAAAAGAGATCCAAGGGCCGCCTCTGCAGTGTTTCAAAAAGGTTTTTGAAGCTCAGACGGGCGGAGGGGGTTTGGTTTAGGGTTTAGGTAGTCGCAAGTGGTGTTGCTGTGCTTCAGTAGTCCTGAACGGCTTACGCCGACCTTGCAATTTTGGGATCAAGTTTGGTTTCGCTCGTCACGTTCCGCTGAATGAATGCTCAAGGGCATGTTGTCTTCGATGCTGAGCCTACGACGGCAAAAACGCTACCAATTCGTTTTGGAGTGGGCCGCAGGAAATTTCAGCAGATTTGACTTCCAAGTCATATTGACTTCAGCTTGACGCCCCACGCCATGGCCTTGGCGATTGTCCCCGACGATTTGGCCGCGGATGTTGCGCACTTGGGAGGCGAAGTGCGCAGGCCAGGACTTGCCATCCGAACAAGATCCTGTTTTCCATCTCTTCATCATCACCAGCACCACATCTGTCGGCGCCTCACGAGCATGGACGTTTCTGATCGTTAGCAACAGTGAGAAGGACAAATATAGTGAAAATGCCACCATCGCCATCATCGTCACGGCAGCCAGGGCTTTCAAAGTCGAGCGTGCCACCCAAAACCCTACACTTTAAACCCTAAACCGTAAAACCCTAAAACCCAACACTTCAGACCATCGGGCATGGCATTGTTAAGATGTTTGAAGGCTGAATCAAGATGTCCGTGGCCTGGAGGGCCGGCAGGCGTTGGATCTTGACATCTGCTGATAGCTTTGGGTGTCTGGGTTTTGGGTGGCTGAAACTCGTGTTGTTGTTTTACCTGAACTTGCAGATGCTTGACTGTTCTTGTGCTGCTTGGAGTAGCTTGGCACATAGAACTCGCAGCGTGGTTATGCTCAACATCTTGTCGGGTGCCGTGGGAGAATATATTGGACGATCAGGTGTCTTTGTTTCCAATATCCCACATCCGCACTTATGTCGGCTTGCACTGATGTGGGCTTCAGGTCCAGTGCCAAGGGGTCATGAAACAGAGACCCGTCAGGATTCAGATGGCCAACTTGAGGCTCGTGACCCGAAAGCAACGCAAGAAGCATGCGAGCATGGCAAGCCCGCAAGAGCATGCGAAGTCCCAGACCGGTAGGTGCTCATGGACCGTCGTCTGGTGGAGCTTGGGAGCTTGATCCAAGGCTTGAAGGCCCGCTGTTCATGGTTCGGGCTGATTCAAGCTTCATAGTGGTAGAGGGTTAAGGATTCGAGAACCAGTGGCCGAATCTCAAGCATCTCAGTTGCAGGAGGAGCACTTCGTACAGACATTTGCCAGAGCCTTGGCGGAAGCATGTGGTGTGGCCAGGCACTGCGAATTGCAGCTGCTCTAGAACTGACTGTTCTGTCAATGCCAGCTCTATGACTGACCTCAAGCGGAAAGTGGAAAGTAGAAAGTGCCCAAAGCTCGGGATATTCTTGAATCCTTGCCCTCCCAAGGCCACCGAGCGGGGCCAGCGTACCGTGGCACTCGGCGCGAAACGTGCGCTGGCCGCGGCCACGCAATTGGAGCAGGTGGTTGCGGTGCCAGAAGCTGTGTTGTTACTCCTGGGATTGTACATGCTGGTCCAAGCGCGCGCTTCCATCGGCAGGTTCAAGGGAATTCTGTGGCCGTATTTAGAGTGGAGGGCCAATGATAGTACATGGGACCATATGGGACCTTGATGCCGCAGGAAGGGGAGTGGACCAAGTGCATGCAGGCCGGGTTGCACTCGATCAGGTTGCGCTCTGACTCTTCACTGTCTGAGATTGCGTGTGCAACAGACCCCAAGCCAACAGAGCCAAAAGAGACCCTGCAGAGAATTGTAACTGGGCAGGGCCTTGGCCTGGACACGGAGAGCAGGTGGGGCGGTGTCGAACGGGCACGCGCAGGTTTCGGGTAGTGGCTGGAGGCAGAGGAAACAGGGCGCTGGAGGAAAGTAGAATTGAACGACGGAGGATTCAAGGTGCAGAGTTGCAAGCATGTTGGAAGGGGTGGATATGGTATTAGCCATAAAAGAGACTTGTTTCTTTGTCATTGGGAAGGCTCAACGAGGAGCTTGCTGCTGTGACCAGGAGGATGGAGGCGTGAGGGTCGCAGCTGTCTTGTCCTTGTTCTTTCCTGCTGTGATTCAGTGATGTCATATGATGTCATCATGCTGTGAGCATGTCCTGGCTGTCATCCTGCTGCGAGCATGTCCTTGCCGTCAAGCTGCTGTTTCCTTGCTGTCAAGCTGCCGTGAGCATTTCCTTGCTGCCATCCTACTGTGAACATTTCCTTGCTGCAACCCTGCTGTGCGCATTTCCTTGCTGTCCTTTCCTTGCTATCTTCCTGCTGTGAGCATTTCCTTGCTGTCATCTCTGCTGCAAACATTCCTGCTGAAGCACGAGAGGCACTTGTGCTGACTATCCAGTCCTTACCGCATCTTTCTGTTACCCTCAGAGACCTCCACTGGAGCAGCAGCAACATGCATCAGCGGCCCTGGTGGGAATCGTGCAAGACCAGAGGCCCCAAAAACTGTCCAAATGCTTTGAGGCGGGTGAGCTCGTCCCGCTCCAGACCCCCCCCCCTATAGAAACAGCGTCACCTCAGTCCAATCCCATGAATCTTGCTGAAGATGTATTGGAGATGTCCTTTGCCCCGAAACATTCTTCTGTAGTGGCGACACCAAAGCCGTTTGTAAAAGCTCTTGTGAACCTGCTGCGCGCCGCCCTGGCTGTTGTGTCCGGGCCATGTCTGAGGTGCTTTGACTGCACAGCTCACTTTGACTGATACCCTCTGACACCCTAAGCCTCAAACCCTCAACCCTAAGCCCTGAAAACCCTGAAAATAGAGGGAGGCTTTCTCTATGTCTCAGGAGCAGCAGCGGCATCTGGAACAGCTGGGTGCCCGGCTGGAGGCTGCCGGTGCCCCGGGGAGACACCCGAGGGGCCTTGAATCGGAGGCAGGAAGAACGTGTCAGAACTAGCAATTACTGGTGGTTACTAGGGAATGGGGGAATGAGGGACCCTACATAATCCCTTAAAGGGTACCAACAGTAAGCAACAAGCCATGATGAGAATTATTGTACTGTACGTACTACTCAGTAATCATGGTGAGGGGAAAGTTAACGGGGATGGCAGCGATACCACTTGATAACAACAATGATGTGCATGATAATCGTGTGAAGCCACAATGATACTGATGATCGTAATGACAGTACAGGTAGTAATGATAACAATGAGCTTGCGGAGAGTGGTGATGATGATGATGATGACGATGATGCTGATGATGATGATGACGATGATGCCGGCAATGAAAACAGCTTACACACTCAGCATAACAAGAATGCTAAGAAGAAGTCGAACAGCAAGCAACGAGGGAAGGAGTTGTGCAAAATTGGCGCGGGGGGCTGGGGGGGGGGATGCGTAGAGCGAGCATGGGGGTTCGGGGTGAAAGGGAGAAGCAGTGCGGCACTCAGATGCAGCCGGACACACCAGTAGCATGCTGCCATGGTAGGGCCCCAGTTCTTGACTTCGAGCTCCCAACCCCAAAACCCTTCAAAATGCCCTACGTCTCTAATTCCACAGACCCATAGTAACTCTCCAACCCTAAACCCTAAGCCCTCAACCCTAAACCTTAATTCCCAAAGCCCCACAACACCTCCACCCTGTGTTCGGCTCCGAGGCCGCCGGGAACCGGCTTGCAGTTTTCGGCTTCGGTCCCTTGGGAGGCCGGGGGTTTAGGGTTTTAG